TCTAATATGCAAATTCTTATGCTTGAAATTGTCAACACAGTACTCCAGGAGATGTTCTCCTCATTGATCCATACATTGAACCCTCAATGATCACGTTTGTTAACTGGGTAACAACAATTGATTACTTCCTCAGAGTAACACGAGCATATACGACGATAGGAACCAAAAGTCCTTAAAAATTCATGCAAAGATATACGAAAGCAATTAAGAAACATGTCCTGAAGGCAAAGTATGCAGTAATTAATTCACGAGCAAGATTACGTAATTGCGAAATGTTGAAACCATGGTGTGCAGCAGTATGCCTGCTTCAGGAAATACTCATGAATTGGCTGTGGTTTCAATAAATTCACGGGCAGATTTTGTGATCAAAAGAAGATTTCAACACAATATTCTCCTTGTGAGTGTGTGGATTCGTAACTTAGGTTTTTAAACGTTTAGTTTTTATCGATGAATTTGTTGATAATATTTATGCAAATCAAAAAGAAACATAACTACTAAAATACTTCTAAATGACCGTTTCCCTGTAACCCAATGGCAACCGTGTTCTTCGTTATCAGTTGATACTTGACGCACTTATCATGAGTGTATGTGTTGAGTGGGGTTGGTATGGGTTGAGTGGAGATGTGTTCTTGATCAATTCTTTGCATCAAGCAGATGCCAGGTGATGCGTTGTAATGTGTGGCAGTGTGCGTATCATACGGATAGCTGGGTTCTTCTTTCACACGGGCGGCCGGAGTTCGGTCCACAGCTGGTTGGAAGAGTTGACACGACGCTCACCGTCGGTGCGCGATGATCTGTTGTCAGGTAGCACCCACAGCTCGTCCGCTGGCAGCTGACACCCTTGCTTGGTGGTGCTGGTGGCGCTGCTGTGCGCCCTCTCCGGCTCCGGCTCTCTGGTGATGAACGATTCTTTCATTCGTTAATGGCAGGCTTGGTCGACGTTTGGCGCTTTCCGCCCTCTCTCGCGGATGATGCTGGATTCTCGTCAGCTTAGCTCGAACTGCAGTGGCTCTTGTGAGTCGATGGCCAGAGCGGAATGATTTTCGAGCGATACTCCTTCTGATGGTTCTGAATTTGCACGGCGTAGCATGTCACTACTCAGCGAGCCTCGCCATCCTGGATGAGTTGCGGATTCTTCTTCTGCTGGCAAGCTTCTTCTGTGTCGGTGGTGATCTTCTGTGTCGGTGGTTGGCTGTTATCTTCGGTAGCTGGTCATCTTCGGTAGCTGATGGTCGCCGTCTTCTGCCGCTGGTAGCTGTGATGCAATGTATGTGTCTCTCTTTTTATGCCAAAATTTCTTCCTCTGCTCGCCTTCTCACAAAGGACTGGAACTTCCTTTGATCTCACTCTGTGTTGTGGGTGTGGGGGTTGTACGTGTGTCCGTGTGTGTCATTTATTGAGGTAATATGAGTTTCATCAAGGCATAGTTCCCTGTCGCCTTCCTCAAGCCATCCCACCATAAAAAAAAAACATGTTCCAGATTGCCCCCGAGTGCGTCCTTCTTTCTCACCCTCTGCACTAATTAATCTGGAAGGAGGGGGGGTGCCCTCTGTCCGGTCGAGTCCTCTCCCCCCTGCTCTTCCCTCCCAGTGTGACATTCTTTTGCCTCGCAAAAAGGGTGTGTTGAGGCTTTTGAAATTAAACATTTATTTTACCTCATAGTTTGATACCGTACCACTTGTAGTTATGATTCTGTACGTGACTCAAGGTATGTTGTAGTAGTGTTTCGATCGTGGTGTTTGATTTTTATTTTTAAGAGGAGATGCCCTCTGCCTGCGTATGCAAATTCTTATCACGTGCTACTGGAAGACAAAGGTGGCCAGGCGGCTCTCTTTCTCTCTGGGATACATTTATCTTGGTCACGAGATCGACCCACCTCGCCTCATCTCTACTGGATAACCCTCGGTTTAATACTGCATAATTATTATTTGGTTTATGTTTCCCAATATTTTTTATTTAACATCATCACCACGTATTTCTTAGGGTTTATTAATTTCGTCCCCCCGTCTGTATCCGGGGATCCGTGCTGTTATACTAGAGTTTGATGTCCTGAGTTTTAGAGGTATAACTAAGTTTCGGTTAAGCTTCTTGACTGCTGGAATTAATTTGTTTGGTATTTGTAAAGTCACGTAAACGGCAAGATAGTGTAATTTAAGGTGAATAACGTTAGTATCAATATTATGTATGAAAAGTAATAACCCACTATGTAGATTGTAGTCTTTTTTTAATCGTAGTGAGTGTAGATACCTATAATGCCAGCTTATTCTTGTTGCTGAGTTTTGTCCTATTTCGTCTGATGTATATGTGTTTGTTCTATTTTATTGTGGTGATGAGATGTCTCCTCAAGGCCTGGCTCCTTCCTTCGCGGTCGGGTGTTGCCTTTGTCTATCTCGGTGGGAGTCGTGGTCTCTCCCTTTGTGATTTTATTGCTACCCCATGTGGCTAGGAGACAAGGTGGCCGGTAGGCTTCCTCTATGGAATCCTTTTCTCTCGGTCACGTGATCAACCCATCTCGCTCCATCTCCCCTGGGCGACCCTTGGCTTAACTCTAATGATCATTATTTGGTTTATGTTTTCCAAGATTCGTGATTTTACATCATCACCACGTATTTCCTAGGGTTTTATTAACTTTCGTCCCCCTGTCTGTATCCGGGGATCGGTGTTGTTATGCTTGAGTTATTCTTTTTGATGTCCTGAGTTTTGGAGGTATAGCTAAGTTTCAGTTAAGTTTCTTGATTGTTGGAATTTATATTCGTTGGTTTTTGTAAGGTCACGTAGATGGCAAGAGGTAATATAATTTAAGGTGAATAACATTAGTATTAATATGACATGTATGAGAAGTGATAACCCACTAGGGAGATTATAGTCTGGTGTTTTTTTATCGTAGTGAGTGTGTGGACAGTCTATTATTTCGATTCATTTGTCGCTAAGTTCTGAACTTTAACCGTTGTATTAATAGCAACGAAAGGGAAAATTATTTTAGAATTCGCCTGTGCTCCTGGCGCCTGGTTGTCTGTACTCTCAAAAAGGGGGCCTTTGAAGTTCTGTAGAGTTCCCCTCGAGTCTCATTAGTAATTTCCCCCCCTTTTCCTCTTTGTTTTGGGTTGTATTACTTTTTATGGCTTATCTCCGGCAGCCTGTTGTGTGTGAGAATGGCGGCTGCTGTGAGGGAAGGGGGTTGTTCACCTCACTCCCTCTGGCCTCCAAGCGACACCACGAAAAAAATTGGCAACCTCATTCTTAATAAAAAAATGGAAAAAGGCTTATATATACAGTGAGGGAAAAAGTATTTGATCCCCTGCTGATTTTGTACGTTTGCCCACTGACAAATAAATGATCAGTCTATAATTTTAATGGTAGGTTTATTTGAACAGTGAGAGACAGAATAACAACAACAAAATCCAGAAAAATGCATGTCAAAAATGTTATAAATTGATTTGCATTTTAATGAGGGAAATAAGTATTTGACCCCCTCTCAATCAGAAAGATTTCTGGCTCCCAGGTGTCTTTTATACAGGTAACAAGCTGAGATTAGGAGCACAATCTTAAAGGGAGTGCTCCTAATCTCAGCTTGTTACCTGTATAAAAGACACCTGTCCACAGAAGCAATCAATCAACCAGATTACAAACTCTCCACCATGGCCAAGACCAAAGAGCTCTCCAAGGATGTCAGGGACAAGATTGTAGACCTACACAAGGCTGGAATGGGCTACAAGACCATTGCCAAGCAGCTTGGTGAGAAGGTGGCAACAGTTGGTGCGATTATTCGCAAATGGAAGAAACACAAAAGAACTGTCAATCTCCCTCGGCCTGGGGCTCCATGCAAGATCTCACCTCGTGGAGTTCCAATAATCATGAGAACGGTGAGGAATCAGCCCAGAACTACACGGGAGGATCTTGTCAATGATCTCAAGGCAGCTGGGACCATAGTCACCAAGAAAACAATTGGTAACACACTACGCCGTGAAGGACTGAAATCCTGTAGCGCCCGCAAGGTCCCCCTGCTCAAGAAAGCACATATTCATGCCCGTCTGAAGTTTGCCCATGAACATCTGAATGATTCAGAGGATAACTGGGTGAAAGTGTTGTGGTCAGATGAGACCAAAATGGAGCTCTTTGGCATCAACTCAACTCGCCGTGTTTGGAGGAGGAGGAATGCTGCCTATGACCCCAAGAACACCATCCCCACCGTCAAACATGGAGGTGGAAACATGCTTTGGGGGTGTTTTTCTGCCCAGGGTACAGGACAACTTCACCGCATCAAAGGGACGATGGACGGGGCCATGTACTGTAAAATTTTGGGTGAGAACCTCCTTCCCTCAGCCAGGGCATTGCAAATGGGTCGTGGATGGGTATTCCACCATGACAAAGACCCAAAACACATGGCCAAGGCAACAAAGGAGTGGCTCAAGAAGAAGCACATTAAGGTCCTGGAGTGGCCTAGCCAGTATCCAGACCTTAATCCCATAGAAAATTTGTGGAGGGAGCTGAAAGTTCGAGTTGCCAAACGTCAGCCTCGAAGCCTTAATGACTTGGAGAAGATCTGCAAAGAGGAGTGGGACAAAATCCCTCCTGAGATGTGTGCAAACCTGGTGGCCAACTACATGAAACGTCTGACCTCTGTGATTGCCAACAAGGGGTTTGCCACCAAGTACTAAGTCATGTTTTGCAGAGGGGTTAAATACTTATTTCCCTCATTAAAATGCAAATCAATTCATAACATTTTTGACATGCGCTTTTCCGAATTTTCTTGTTGTTATTCTGTCTCTCACTGTTCAAATAAACCTACCATTAAAATTATAGACTGATCATTTCTTTGTCAGTGGGCAAACGTATAAAATCAGCAGGGGATCAAATACTTTTTTCCCTCTGTACAACAGCACTCTCTCCGAGCCGTTCCTCTGACCGCTTGGCACACTCTCGCCAGGCTGTTCCTCCCAAACCACATTGTCTTTCCCTAGATGTTCCTTTGTTGTAACCACGTGTCTCTCGTTTTGCAGACTGTTCATCCTTGAACAACAGCAGCTGTGAGAAGTGCCTGAAGAATGTGACGGTAAGGGCACCTTAGGAGACTAGGCTCGGAAGCTGCTTGCAAAGTAGCATTCAGATTACATTAATCTCCATACCTTTCCTCGTGTAATGCTTTACTATCAAGGGCAAAAGCGTAAATGTATTTGTCCGTTTGTATAAACAAAAGGGATGGGCTGCACTATAGCGCCTCACCTGGTATACAGGAGGTCGTAGGTTCGATCCCAACCCTGACGCCTGTATATTTGGAGTTTGCTTGTTTTCCCCGTTGTAACATGGATTTTTCTTTGGGTCCTTTGGTTATTTCATCCACATTTATAAATATACATTTATAATTATACATTTATAATTATAAATGATTATAATCCACATGCATAAAGAATATAAGGCCCACTGAGCGATATAGAACTTTTTCAGAAGCGACCTAGCCACAAATGATAGCTCAACGAAGTGGCTTATTGTATCGAAATTTATCGCAGCCATGTTTCTAAACGTAAAGGTAAAAACCGGAGGACCCGGGGAAAAAGCTTCGTGACCATGGGGAGAGAGACACCGTAAACTTCAGATATACAGCAGGAGTCAGAGTCAGGATTGAGCCCACAACCTCTTGTATACCAGGCGAGGTTAACATCTCCTCGCAACCAAATTGCGTCCTCTGGGCTGGCATCTCTCCCCGTAGGGAGCATGCCTAAACGTGAGGGACCTATTTTTCAACGAGGGAGGGGGACAGGTGGGGGAGGGCACCGCAGTGGCCAGGAGATGTTAACTTCCTCGCCTGGTATACAGGATGTCGTGGGTTCGATCCCAACCCTGACACCTGTATATATGGAGTTTGCGTGTCTCTTCCCGTGGTCGTGTGGATTTTTCTACGGGTCCTCCGATTTTTTCCCCCTTCACATTTAGAATCAACTTTATGCGTTTAAGAGTATTTGGCTGCTATAAATTTCCACACGATAAGCCACTTTGTTAAGCTATCATCTGTGGCCTTGCCTAGTAAATAAAAAAATAGTTAACACGCCGCAGTTGTTCTGAGTCGGAATTACGACGCCGTCAGCTCATCGGTACCGAGCTTGCTGCGTACTCTAACCCGACTGCTCCCGCCTTTGCCCCCTCCCCCCACCATGTAACCGCAGTGCCTGTGGTGCAACACCAACAGCCGATGCATGGACTACCCGGTGAAGAGGATCCTGCCGCACACGGAGGACTGCGCTTTGTCGGCGGCTCGCTGGGGCGTGTGCTGGGGTGAGAGAGATGCTGGCGGCGTTGCCGTCGCGCGGGGGAATGGGTGGTTTGGGGGCAGGGGTCTCAGTGTGAAACAATAGATCTGTCTTCTTCTTATGGCTGATGTTGATGTAGAGCCACAACTATAAGTTTAAATTGTGGTTGATGGGCCAAATGATTGTTGCGTCAGGAGTAGCAGGAGTGGTGCATCGCTGTGATGATGATGTCTGTGTGCATGTTGAACTTCTTTCGCACCGTACGGAGGCAACTTGCTCAGTCAGAGGTGCGAGGGGGAAGGACAACACACTTAAACACAAATCAATTCAAAATAAATTAGTTTTTTATTTAGATTATTTAACAATGCACAGCACCAACGGATTCCTAATATCGGAAGGTAGAGCGTTCCAGATGGCCACAGAAGCGCATTTTAAAGCACGTGAGGTGGTGACCGTCTTTATTTGATGGTTAGCCAAAAGCCACTGCTGCTGTGAGGATGACTGGAGTTTGCGTGATGGTTTACACTTCTTGATGAGATCAGCAAGGTGTTGTGTTTCGTTTGTGGCGAGTACTTTGTGTAATGAGCGTGACCTTATACAAATCTCCAAGGGGAAACCCAAATAAGTAGGGACTGGTGGTGGTTGTGCTGTTAACGCACACAAACAGCAATGGCTCTTGCTTGAAATGCTACCCGACTGTACACGGTTATGGTCCAAATGTCTTGTGACCCCCAGTTTAGTTGATAGTTTAATTTGGACCGATCGGTCGAAGCGAGTCGTAACTTTTTGGCCGCTCCACCACTGCTCCTCCTGTGAAGGTTTTCTGGCTTGGTTGGGAAGTTGGAACTCTGATTTGGGATGTGTGAGACTCAACAGACTTATTTCTCTATGGTGATAACTTTTGTGGGTTTAACACGCAGTATTCTTTCGCAACCAATATTGTCCATGATAGAGGGTTTTTTTTTTACAGTGAGGGAAAAAAGTATTTGATCCCCTGCTGATTTTGTACGTTTGCCCACTGACAAAGAAATGATCAGTCTATAATTTTAATGGTAGGTTTATTTGAACAGTGAGAGACAGAATAACAAGAAAATCCGGAAAAACGCATGTCAAAAATGTTATGAATTGATTTGCATTTTAATGAGGGAAATAAGTATTTAACCCCTCTGCAAAACATGACTTAGTACTTGGTGGCAAACCCCTTGTTGGCAATCACAGAGGTCAGACGTTTCTTGTAGTTGGCCACCAGGTTTGCACACATCTCAGGAGGGATTTTGTCCCACTCCTCTTTGCAGATCTTCTCCAAGTCATTAAGGTTTGGAGGCTGACGTTTGGCAACTCGAACCTTCAGCTCCCTCCACAGATTTTCTATGGGATTAAGGTCTGGAGACTGGCTAGGCCACTCCAGGACCTTAACGTGCTTCTTCTTGAGCCACTCCTTTGTTTCCTTGGCCGTGTCTTTTGGGTCATTGCCATGCTGGAATACCCATCCACAACCCATTTTCAATGCCCTGGCTGAGGGAAGGAGGTTCTCACCCAAGATTTGATGGTACATGGCCCCGTCCATCGTCCCTTTGATGCGGTGAAGTTGTCCTGTCCCCTGAGCAGAAAAACACCCCCAAAGCATGTTTCCACCTCCATGTTTGACGGTGGGGATGGTGTTCTTGGGGTCACAGGCAGCATTCCTCCTCCTCCAAACACGGCGAGTTGAGTTGATGCCAAAGAGCTCCATTTTGGTCTCATCTGACCACAACACTTTCACCCAGTTATCCTCTGAATCATTCAGATGTTCATGGGCAAACTTCAGATGGGCATGTATTTGTGCTTTCTTGAGCAGGGGGACCTTGCGAGCGCTGCAGGATTTCAGTCCTTCACGGCGTAGTGTGTTACCAATTGTTTTCTTGGTGACTATGGTCCCAGCTGCCTTGAGATCATTGACAAGATCCTCCCGTGTAGTTTTGGGCTGATTCCTCACCGTTCTCATGATCATTGCAACTCCACGAGGTGAGATCTTGCTTGGAGCCCCAGGCCGAGGGAGATTGACAGTTCTTTTGTGTTACTTCCATTTGCGAATAATCGCACCAACTGTTGTCACCTTCTCACCAAGCTGCTTGGCAATGTTCTTGTAGCCCATTCCAGCCTTGTGTAGGTCTACAATCTTGTCTCTGACATCCTTGGAGAGCTCTTTGGTCTTGGCCATGGTGGAGAGTTTGTAATCTGATTGATTGATTGCTTATGTGGACAGGTGTCTTTTATACAGGTAACAAGCTGAGATTAGGAGCACTCCCTTTAAGAGTGTGCTCCTAATCTCAGCTCGTTACCTGCATAATAGACACCTGGGAGCCAGACATCTTTTTGATTGAGAGAGGGTCAAATACTTATTTCCCTCATTAAAATGCAAATCAATTTATAACATTTTTGACATGCGTTTTTCTGGATTTTGTTGTTGTTATTCTGTCTCTCATTGTTCAAATAAACCTACCATTAAAATTATAGACTGATCATTTCTTTGTCAGTGGGCAAATGTACAAAATCAGCAGGGGATCAAATACTTTTTTCCCTCACTGTAAATCAGATCACGGAAATATCTTTAGTTTTGGTGCCATTTTTTGTATTCGTTCATTCATGTTTTATTGTTGCTCGGTGGTGGTAGTAGCAGTAGGGGTTTTCATTTGCTTGGTGTGTGTATGTGCGTTCTTTCGCACCGTGCGTAGCCAACCGCGTATATGGGATTTGGTCCTCACATTTAACGTACAGCGTTGTGGGATGCTATTGGCATGAATGACGCTGCTACATATAACATTAAAGTGTTATTATTAATGAATTGACCCCTAACATTTTTTTTTCCTTTGCATATTCATTTTTGTTTTTTTAAATAAATCTCTCTTAAAAATAATTATACATTCAGTTTTAGAGAATTAAATGGGGGGTCACAAGACATCTGGACCACCTTGTACAATGCAATACCATTTACAACACTTTACAACTAAAGTTGAAAAGAGTAAAAAAAAATGTACATTCCAACTTTAATTTGAAAGTGTTCGCGTATTACATATACAAGATGGGGGGGAGGCACGATTTATCTCGTAAAGATTATGAAACGCGAAGAAAACTTCATCATGGAGGAATCCGGTGAGCTATAAAGCATTTTTTCACAGATGTCCAGTCGAGGCGAGTAAGAATGTTACAACAAAATATAAAACACTAGCTTTACTACCCGGCTTCGCCCGAGACTTGGATTCTTGTATTGGATTAATACACGGCCTACGCGGAGGGTGGGGGGGGGATGCGTGACGTCAGCAGACACACTGTGTAACGCTGCTGCATGGGGGTGACATCACAGATGTGACGTCACCGCTCACTTGCCGTGCAAAATATATCCAATATTGCGTCCCCCACCCCCAAAATACAAAAGTCTATTTTTATACTTTTTGCATTGTGTATAGTCTGGAAGCTATCCACATGCCAAATTTCAAGTTTGTTGCATGTTGGGAAGTATGCTAAACATTTCGAACAGACACTTTCACTAATTCCCCTTATATATAGATGATAGGAGTGCAAAGTATAAGAAAGGTAAACAAATCATCCAAACACATACAAATAAAACTAAGCCATCCCCATCCTAGCAGACAAAGCCCACTGAGGTTTTTTTAAGTGACCTGGCACAAATGATAGCTCAACAAAGTGGCTTATCATTTGGACATTTATAGCAGCAAAATGATCTAAATTGTCTAAATGCATGTTTCTAAATATGGAGGGAAACACCAGAGGACCCGGAGAAAAAATCCACGCGACCACGGGGAGAACATGCTAACTCCAAATATACAGCAGGTGTCAGTGTCAGGATCGAACCACCAACCTCCTGCATACCAGGCAAAGAAAGTAATATCACACTACCGTGGTGACCTGGCTCATCAATGATAGCTCGACTAAGCGGCCTATCGCATGGCAATGTATAGCAGCAGCCAAACACTTAAAAGTGCGGTGTCAATTCCCTCATTAAAATGCAAATCAATTTATAACATTTTTGACATGCGTTTTTCTGGATTTTTTTATTCTGTCTCTCACTGTTTAAATAAACCTACCATTACAATTATAGACTGATCATTTCTTTGTCAGTGGGCAAACGTACAAAATCAGCAGGGGATCAAATACCTTTTTACCTCACTGTATACAGCTCAGTTGGCCTTACTTGGTAAAATAAAATATTTAGTTCGTTTTGTTTTAGATTGTTCATGTGGCTCACATTTTGTTTCTTGAAATAAGTACAACAGCAGGCATTGTCAGGGTCAGGATCGAACTCTTCACCTCGCGCATCTATGAGCTGTATCCCTGACGTTGCCTCCATTGCCTGAGTAATTCATGTTTTTTTTCATTTCCCGGAAATATCTGAAGCTTTCACATTTGCATTTCCCACCAGCACTTGTTTTCCCCATGCTACTTGTAGTCCATTCTGGAGGATGTGCTTGACTGCTGAAGCTATTAGAATTACCATTCTAAACTATAAAAGATGTTAAACTAAACTATTTTTATTTTACCAGGTAAGGCCTACCCCACTGACCCAATGGGAATGCCCATTGCCAAAGCCTTAGTTAATGCGCTATATATGAAACCGTTAGGATATCAATGTGACCCTTGCATTTCCTGAGGTGTGTGCCTCGCTTGCAACTCCCTGTTTTTCGATTTAAAGCTTTCTTGACTGCAAGGATTCATCTTCTTTGGTTCTTTCGGTAAAGTCACGTAGAATGAGAATAAAATAATAAATTGATAAAATAAAATAACACAATATTCTCACGACGTTTCGGCCACAACACAAGCGGCCTTCATCAGGTGAAGGGGACGAGACTGTCTGGAGGACAGCGCTGGAGTGAGAAAGCCACGCTGAGATCACGACCTTTAAGCTGTGTGAGAAGAAACAAAGTGCCTTGACAAAGGAATTAGCATATAGAAGTTGCAACGGCAGAGGCTAGTGTAAATGCGGTTGGTATTACCTTAGAGTCGCGGCATCTCTTCAGAAAAGGTGAG